TTTTGATTTAAGGAGGAAATGGATTCCACATTTGCCATTAGAAGCTAAAATATATCAAGATTATCTTAATAAGAACAGTTCACAGTTTCAAATGCATTATAAAATCTTGCTAAACCATTGTATCTACTTAAAAAAACCTGGTCATTGTTATGATCATACATATGGACTTTGCTATGACCAAATGTTATGTATGACACAGAGCACAGTTTGACAAGAAATTAATTGCATTGTGTGCTTAATTATCAAAGTTTTCTCCTTTCATCTTATAGCAACATAAGAAGCCAAGCATAATGGATCTGATTGATCGATCATATGCCATCAAGTTGCTTTCGACTCCTATTGACCATATAGGTCAGTGGTGGCGAACCTATGGCACGGGTCCAGAGGCGGCACTCAGAGCCCTCTCTGTGGGCATGTGCGCCGTCGCCCAAGTCCTAGGCCTTCAGCTGGGTTTTATAAAACCTTTTCGCTTTAGGCCTCCGCCGCTGTGTACAAAAAAAAAGATTCAGTCAATTTCAACTTCTCACGGAAAAAAAAGATCTTGCAAGGTTGGAATTGATTGATTGCACTTTTTAGTCCCAGCCAGTCTGCCATTACCACTGTGGCCATGCTCACCCAATGGGCCATGCTCACCCAATGGGCCATGCCCACCCAATGAGCCATGCCCACCCAATGGGCCACGCCCACCCGGCATCCAACGATGCATAAGTGGGTTTTGGGTTGCAGTTTGGGCACTCGGTCTCTACAAGGTTCGCCATCACTGATACAGGTAGATTTTCTCCATGACAATCTGTCCCATGGCACCTCCATTGCTACTCTAAGTCCATCCACCTTGTTCTGGTTGTCCTCTTCTTCTTTTTTCTTCCGTCTTTCACAGCTTTAGGACTTTCCCCAAAGCTGGGTTTTCACATTGTTCGATGTGAGATAATTCAAGCCCGATCATTTGCATCTTGAGTGAAACTTCTGGGTTGATTTGTTCAATGATCCATTGGATTATTTTTATGGCTCTCCATGGTATTCTCAGCCTTCTCCAAAATTTATTCAAAAGCATCCTGCTTCAAAATCCAACTGTCGCTTCTACAGAGTGTCACAGGGCATGCAGAGCTTGCGTGATTCTGATCTTTGTAGGTATCGACAGATACAGTGGTACCTTGGCACTCAACTGCTTTGAAACGAACTGAATTTGGTACTCAATTTGAGAGGCAAATTTTGTCCTGGTGTTCATTGTCTGTTTGATATTCAACACGCAAGGGAGAAACCTGTCGGTGTCAGCTGCCTTGTGACTCACTACATTGTTCTTTATGGGGAAAACTCATCGTTTTTGGTACTGATCGCACCTCCTGGAACCCATTAACGATGGGTACCAAGGTACCACAGTATTTGAGTATGTTTTCCAAGACCTTCACAGCTGCTCTGCTGAGTACTAGTCTGCCGTGTTATTTCTTCACCTCTTGTTCCTTTCCTCTTGATGGTGGATGCTAAAAGGTAGACGCTCCCCACAAGCGATATTTTTATTGGCAAGTCTCAGACTGGTTGCTCTACTTCCTGTCATTACTTTGGCCTTCTTTTTGTTTTAGTCTAATTTTTTCACTCTGCAATGAACAAAGTATTGTAGCTGCTGTTGGTGTCTTTTCAACTTTAACTGAACCATCATCATTCATCTGTCACAAAGTGATTCCTAAACTGAAAAATGGTTAAAAAAAAAACAAGAATATCTGCCCATACAAAAAACTAACTGGAAAAAAAACCTTAACAGTATTCACATAACAGTAATGTATGGGTAAACATGAAAAATTAAAAAATAGAAAGACCTGTCTAGGGCAATCCTATCCGGAGTTAACCTGGACTGAGTACCATGGAGCAGATTCCCAGGCAGGTCAGCATCAGATTTCATCTCTGAGTGATGGTCATCCTGCTTTTCAACCGGATCCCCTCTCATCTGATTGGAAGAAGAAAGAAGTGGGCAACTTGCGTTAGGAAATGAAGAAAGTGCTGGTGCTTCTCCAGGCCGTGTGGCTTTTGATCGGTCAAAACCCTCCACTGCGCAGCCAGATGGAGCTGTGCTGTGATAAGGCAACCGGGATGGCTGTCATGCTAGCTGGACCAAAGGCTGCAGCAGGTGGTGCTGAAGAGTCTGTGCGCACTTTTGCCAACCTCAGGGTTTCTCCGTGAGTGGACCGAGCCCCTCCCCCTCTTTTAAAAGACCACAGGTGACTTCTGGCAAGGCAGCTTTCGGATTTAGGTTAAGAGGTCATCAGGAGGTTGACATCCCATAATACCACCTCAACCTCTCACTTTCATAGGGTTTGAAGCAATTGGGCCTGCTTAAATACCTATGTTTCTGGACCCAAGTCCTGCCCTTAGCTTTAAAGTTCTGCATGTTTTTGGACTTGGATATTTTCAGTGTGGTCTTCTCTCAGTCTTCCTTCTGGAAGTTCAACCAAGTATTTCCCACCTACCCAGGAGAGGTTGGGGAGGACCTTGTAAATCATGGCACGAATACTGGAGTCTGACCCTCCACCTCACACACACATAGCAAGTTCTGGGCACTCAGTTAAGTCACAAAGTTCTTGGCCCAAAAATTTCCACCAAGTGGTTCTGCATTAGCAGATGCTCTAAAAAAAGAGTTTCCAAGGCATCCGAGCCACGTTTTTGCCTTTCTGGATATCGCTTGAAGATTCAACAGTCATTTGCTGGTGGGCGGTCAACTCTGAAGAAAGAGGGTTGCGATAACCATCCAGAGATCTGCTTATTCCAAATAGATGGTGCCATCAGACTGGCTAGAGTTTATTATTTTTTTTTTAATTGAAAAATTTTTTAAAAACTTCTACAAAGACAGAAAAAAAAACAATAACAACAACAAAAAACAAAACAAAACAATACAACCCTCCCCCAAGCCCTCCCAAACCACCCCCTCCCTCCCCCCCCGGAGCTTCCCAGAGCAGAATATAGGCTTAATTTAAAAAAATTAACAAAATTATAAGATAATTAAAAATAAAATATATATGAAAAAAGAATTATAATCCTTAAAAAGAGAAAGTATTTAAAAAAAACAAAGAAAAAAAGTAGAGTTTTTATACAAATTATAAAAAAGCTAAATGATATTTTTTCAAATCCAATTTAAATTGTATGAAATTTATCCATTTTTCCCATACAGCAAAAAATTTCTCTTGCGTTTGCTCTTTTAAGAAAGCCGAAATCTTTGCCATTTCCGCCAAGTAAGATACTTTAAAAAACCACTCTTGCTAGAGTTTATTTTTGTAGACATACTTTCCCCCCCAATGCCTTCATCCTGGGCAACACACAGGCCTGACTTTTCTGCCTGTCGGGGATTCATCTATCAGAATAAAATATCCTGATAACTTAGTTTCAGGCAATCCTCGCCCCAAAACCACTCATTCAGGAACTGTTCAAAATTACGAAGTGAATGTTGGTTACCATTCTCCAGAGTTCCCCTCCTTTTGCACCCCTTATTTTACTCGGCAATGGGAATTCCCCTCCCAATAGCCGTTGTAAGTTGAGGACTACAAGTAATTAGGTTCTCCTATATGACGTTGTAACCCTCCGATAATTGTCTCCTCAGGTCGGTTTTGTTTATTTTCATTTTTATGCACTAAAGTAATGGCGGCGAACCTATGGCACACATGCCAGAGGCAACACTCGGAGCCCTCTCTGTGGACACATGTGCTCTTGCCCCAGCCTTGTCTCCCCCCTGTGACCCCCTCTTCTCCAGCAGCCCCCCCGAAGGAGAGTCGCCCTCGAGCGTGGCCCTCATGGAGCAATGCAGCCAAGAACATGACAGCCAGGCAGCGTAGACAAGACTGCCCTCACGCCCCATCATGCAGTTGATGCTGTGGGGCGCAGGCAGAGGGCATGGCCGCCATGGTGCTGCTGGGCTGCCTGCATTGGGCCCTGGAGGCAGTGAGTGGTCCTGCGGGCAGGCGGGGTGGGGACGGGGCCAGTTTTTGGGCACTCAGTCTCTATACCAGTGGTTCTCCACCTGTGGGTCGGGACCCCATTTGGGGTCGAACAACCATTTCACGGGGGTCGCCAAACAACGCAGCCCGCCATTTTTTTCCCCCTTTTCCTTAGCTGTGCTGCTCCCTTTTATTCTATTGGCTTTTGAAAGCCAATAAAATAGACTCTCTTGAATAGAGTCTAATTCCATTGGCTTTCCAAAGCCAATAGGAATTGTCCAGGCTGTCTCTGCCCTGCTGAGCCCGCCAAAAGTCCCAGTCTGCAAACGGTGCTGCACCAGTTGAGTAGTCCTCGACTTACGACCGGTTGAGTAGTCCTCGACTTATGACCGGTTGGGGGGTCATGGCATTAAAAAGGTTGAGAACCACTGCTCTAAAAGGTTCGCCATCACCGCACTAAAGCTTCCTCCTTCCATTAGGTATTCAAGATGGACAGGGATTAATATTGATAGGTTACTTATCTGCAAGGGTGGATGTGTGTTATGTATGTGTACACTTTGAGAGCAAGCCACTTTCATTTTTAACGTGTGCCATTGTGCCCACAGGAAAAAAATGACAATAAAGATTATCTACCATCCATCCATCCATCCTCCGGCCCATCTCCCCTAGATTACAAGGCAACTTTGCTACACTGTCTTGAGTTCCAGGCCCACCTGAGCCTTGGACTAAAAGGAGGAACCGACGATGCAGCCTCGTTTAACGGGTCTTTAACGGGCCGGCGCGGGACAGCACTTTTCGGGGAGGGCCTCGCGACGGAGCCCCCACAGGTCCCTCTGTGGGTCCCTTTGCAGCCGAGAAGCCCCTCTCCTCCGCCCGGCGGGGGGGGGCATAAGCGGGGGGGGGCCGCAGGACTTGCAGCCCAGCAGGGCAGTTCTCGCTGCAAAGCCCCCCCGCGCCCCTCCCCCCGCTTCCTTCCTTCCTTCCGTCCCTCCCCCCGCCCCGCTTTCTTTTCCGGCAACCGGAGCCCTTTTCCGCCGCCGCCGCCGCGCTCCCATTTCCTGCCGGGCCGGCGCCTTTAAGAGGGCAGAGCCGGTGCCGGGAACTGGCGTCACTTTCCAGCCGAGGAGCTCTCCGAGGCCGCGAGCGGAGGGGCCGCTGCCGAGACCGCCGCCGCCTCCTCCTCGCCCCGGCCGCCCGCCCGCCTGCCTCTCTCTGCCGCCGGGCCCGGGCGGGGAAGGGGAGGAGCCCCCCCCGCGCGGCCCCGAGAGGGAAGGGAAGGGAGGGAGGGCGGCGTCGGGCCTGCCCGCTCCGAGCCATGCGAGGCGCCCTTCCGGGCCGGCGGAGGCGCGCGCGGGCGGCTGGCCGCTGATCCGAGGCGCCGCGCCGCCAGAGCGCCTTCTTCGCCCGCCAGGCCGGCCGGCCCAGGAGCCGCTGCGGGGAAGACCCCGGCAGAGGCGCCCGAGCGAGCGAGTGAGCGGGCGGAGGGAGAGGGGCAGCCGGCCCGACTTCCCGCCTTGCCCGCTCGCCCCCCCCCCGCCCAGACATGTCGGAGGGTCCCGACCTGGTCTGCATCAAGGTAAGAGCCCCCCGCCCTCGCGCCTCGGGGGGGGGCATCCCAGCCGCCTCCCGCCCCGGTCCTCGCCCCGCAAGCGGAGGGGGGGCGGCGGCTTCGGGGAAAGGCGCCTTTTGCCCGGACTCGCCTTCGCGGGATCGATGCCCCCCCCCCAAGTTCTGCCTTTGCAGGTCCTGGAGGCGGGGAGTGCGTGTGTGTGTGTGTGTGTGTGTGTTTGTTTGTGTGTGTCTGGCTCCCAGCCGTTGCGTGGAAGTGCCAGCAGGCAAAGAAAGCGTCCCCTTCCCCCTTCCCCCCTCCGGGACTTGGGAGAAGAGCCTCTCCGGAGAAGTTTCCGAAGTTGCTCCGGCGGGATCCCCGGTCGGGCCCCTGTCCGCGGGCTTTGCGGGGTCCCCGGGCGGAAGGGCGGAAGAGGGGGTCAGCCCCCCGCAGCCCCCCTCCCCGACGGCCGAGGGGCTCCTTGCCGGTCCGGATTTGCGGGGGGGGAAAGACCCGATCGCGGCGCCCCCCTCGGACCAGCCGGCGGCTTCGAGGTTCTTCAGGGGCCTCGGACGCCGCGACTCCTTCCCACCGGGAAGGGCGTCATTGGGGGGGGGCTCTTTTGGGGGACCCCCCGAGGGCTTCTCCCCTTCCCCGACTCCCTTCGCCCGTTTTGAGGGAGGCGGAAACGCCACCGAATCCAGGCTGGCATTGGGCGGCCTTGCGGCCCGCTCCGCCGCCGCGGCTGCCCGGGAGGAAGGCCGCCCGTTCGGCCGCGCTGGCTTGAATCCCGGGGGTTTGATTGAAAGGTGATCAACGAACATCAAGTAACCACCTGAACATGATAAGTCCACGAGGCAGAGAGGGAAAAAGGATACGAAAAGTGCAAAAAAAAAAACCAAAACACCCTTCTAAAAGTAATAGTTGCATGTAAACATTCACCATATATTTAAAGCAGGGGTCTTCAAACTTGGCCCTTTTGTGACTGGTGGACTTCAACTCCCAGAATTCCTCAGCCAGTTTTGCTGGCTGAGGAATTCTGGGAGTTGAAGTCCACCAGTCACAAAAGGGCCAAGTTTGAAGACCCCTGATCTAAAGTAATCTAGTCTATGGCCATGGAGGTAATCATAAAATCTGTCCAAAGTTGATAGGATTGAGGGACCTTAACGTTATTTGGTCCTAAACTCTGCTGATGGTTGTTGGTTCAGAATTACCTTTGGCTAAAATTGTCTGAATTGCTGCTGAATTAAGCTAGTTGAGGACTGTAGTGGAAGACAAACCGAAGAATTGCTAAAAAGGCATTTCTGGATCTTTTAAACCCGCGAGTGCCTGCATTTGAAAACCTTTTTTTACTTGTGTTTTACCGATTAGTCTTCTCTAATCATTGAGGCCCATCTACAAGTAGTGAACATTATTTTATTTTATTTTAAAAAAAATCCCATTATGTTTTAATTTGCATTTCCCTGGAGGATAGCTTGTGTTGTTTCACGCCCAAAGAACTTGATTTCGACATGCCTATAATTTGTTTGGCTGAAATATACTAACATGTACCGTGAGATTCCCACCCTTAAAAAAATGTTAAGGAGAGGTGGTTACCAGCAATTTTAGTACTTGTGGTTCGTGAAAAAAACAGCTCTCGTAATGGGATTGCTAAAATATATTTATTTATAGTTCACCTTTATTTTTTTATAAATAAAAAGCAAACATGCTTAATACTCCTTTCTCTTATTTTCCTCAGAACAACCCCCCTTTGAGGTGGGCTGGGCTGTGAGAAAGCCACCCAGCTGCTTTTTCACACTTAAGGCAGGACTAGAACTCGCCATTTCCTGCTTTTTAGCCTGATGCCTTCACTACCAAACCAAAGTGGCTATTTTTCAGTTCAATAATTGATTTTCATTCAATATTTTTTCAATATCAAGTGTAGTTTGAAGGCTCCACTTTTAAATTGTTTCTGCCTTCTTTTCCTGTGTGGTTCTAGGCAGTGCAGCACAGTTTACCAGAAATGCTTTATGTTATGAACTATCACATAATACCTTCTTTATACAGTTAGGATTGCACAACAATCACTCAGTGGTAGTGACTGGGGATTCCCCCCCCCCTTTCCATAAATCATGGGCTGCCCATATGTAGTCAACTTAAGAGTGAGAAGTGAATGGTTCAGCTCCATTTCAGGAGCTCAAAACCATTGTTTTGTTTACTTTGGATTGCTTTCTATGGGCAGGCCCTGTTGAAGGAAAGGAAATACTTATCAAAGCAAGATTTTTTTCTAGTTTGAGAGTTGCAAGGCTGTTTTCTGAGTACTGTAGTAGAGACTTCTAATGTTTTGCTCCTCTATAGTTAGAAGGCTGTATGACCTCATTAGCTTGCAGATTAATAGGTTGTCATCTTTAGTCTGTGTAAGGATAGGCATGATTTTGCTCAGTCTGTTTTTTCACAGAATAAGATGCTTCTGAGCTGTACCCAAATTCTTTTTTTCTTCTGGAAATGATGTCATCACTCATATTTAGTGGAAAGAGTTCCAAAGCAAAAATAAATACATCTTAAAAATCCACGCTGCATGCTTTCTTTGCTCAGAAGTAAAAAGTGAATATATAGGTTGCTTATTATATCATGGCAGCATTTAATCAAGCAATATTCCTTGCACAACTCTGGGTTTCGCTGTTCACAAAGTTTCCACAAAAGGGGTAGCTTTTGCTTTAGCAACCTCTTTTTTTTTGCAGTAAAAAAGCGTGGTCTTTTTAATATCTTTTTTTTTCATGGTTTCTCCTGGGCCTTACACATGGGCCTCTGCAAAGCTTTTTAGTATTTAAAACAATATTGGCATCTTTTCTCAAAAAGTCTAGGGAGAGAAGGAAAGTCTGTGTGGGGGAGTTTTTTTAAAAAAATAAGGCGAGCCTTTAAATGGGTTTTCGAGCATAATTTGGTACCTGAAAAGTTGGGTGTCCAGCTATATCTAGTTTTGTCTACTTAGAACTAGTCATTTAGTGACCATTCAGATTTATGACATTGAAAAAGTGACTTATGACCATTTATGACGGTCGCAGTGTCCTGGGGTCACATGATCCCCTTTTGTGACCTTCTGACAAGCTAAGCCAATGGGGGAATCCAGATTCATTTAGCCTTGTTACTAATTTAACAACTTGCAATGATTCACTGATTCACAATTGTGTCAAGAATGGTTGTAAAATGGGGTAAAACTCACTTATCAACTGTCTCGCTTAACAAAGGAAATTTTGGGGTCATTTGTGGTCCGGACTTGGTCCTCCACTCTCCCTACCCCCCACCCCACCCACTCAAAGCCAGGATTCAATTCTTTTATTAAATAGAAATCACTCAGGAAAGAGAAGTAAATGAAATCAATTGTGGCTCAAAGGAGCTTATCAAGCAAACAAAGGAGGAAATGAACAAAGTTTATTTCCTGCTTCAGGGCCGGCTTCTATCCACTACCAATATTAGGATGGCCTTTCCTAAGATAAGTGAAATAGACGTGTTCCTGGAGCAGGGGAGATTTATCCTTCATCACAGCCCTGAAGGTGGGGCCTGGGCGGGCCAGGGTGGCGAGTGAGATGCTTTTAAATTTCCTGACATTTCTGGTCCCAAGTTCAGTTGATTCACCCTGTTGAAAAACAAATGGGAGTTGGCCTGCCTGGACCATACTCTGGCATTATCCTAAACCAGTAGAGTTCATCTGATCTGTCAGTTCCTGTAATTCAGTGGGATTATGCAGAAGGGCCTTAGTTCTCCTTTTTGCTACTACTACATTCCCCACTTCCCTGCCCCGAGGGAAAAGGGAGGAGAAAAGGCCAAGTCTGAAATTTCCTGTTTTGTCTTTATCCAAGGGATATCCGAGTGCAATGCATCTCAACCTACGGGGACTTCAATTCCCAGAATTCCTCAGCCAGCCATACTGGCTGGAGAATTCTGGGAGTTGAAGTTCCCATGTCTTAAAGTTGCCAAGGTTGAGATACGTTGCACTAGTCGGTGTCTCTCATCCAAAGTTATACCTTGATCTGACCTACTTAATATTTTTGAGAAGGCCACTAGAGCAGTGTTTCCCAAACTTGACAATTTTAAGGCATGTGGACTTCAACTCCCAGAATTCCACAGCCAGCATTGCTGGCTGTGGAATTCTGGGAGTTGAAGTCCACATGCCTTAAAATTGTCAAGTTTGGGAAACACTGCACTAGAGTGTTGTCACTAAAAAGGCACCGTTGCCTTTGAATTGAGTTCAGCTTCCTTACCAGTAGTAATGAAGTTGGTTTATGTCCAGATTTTATCTAAATAATTCCAGTTACTGAGTTGTGTTGATCAAAATGAATATGTTCATAGTTCTTATTTAGTAAATGAGATCTGATTCTCAAGGGTGACTGCCACATTACTGGTCTGATTAAACATGTTTGATTGAATAAACCACAGTGAGCTACATTCACAACAGTTTAGCCAAAACCAAACCATGTTAAGGCTTACTCAGTACAGTATGAACTCATCCATCCCCATCTATAGTAGTCTTATGATCTTATGAATTTCATTTGTAATTGCAGCAGGATGGCCTTAATGCAACATAATGTCAACACAGAAGACTATTTGCATAACTTACATCGTTTATGCAGTGACATCACACAATGCAGGGGTCCCCAACCCCCAGTCTGTGGATTGGTACCGGGCCGCGGCATGCCATCAACCTGCCCGCACAAACAGGCAAAGCCCCATCCGCGGGATGCAGGCAGCACACACAACCACACACCCTCTGGTCCACGGGAAAACCCCTCTCCACGGAACCAGTCCCTGGTGCCCCAAAAGTTGGGGGCCTCTGACACGATGCATGCAGCAGCAGCAGCAGCCCCTCCCCCACCCATGTATTTGTATTTTTTGCCTAATCAAATCAAACCTATTTTTCTTCTAAAAGCAATTATAAAACAGTGGGCCTCAGGATAACAATACAGGATTAGAATAAAAGACAGAATGGAATAGTGACTTTAATTAAATGTGTTTTAAAGTTTGAAAGCTTCATTTAAAATCCAGGAAGT